GTGATCCGCCCGCCTCGGCCTCCCAAAGTGCTGGGATTACAGGCGTGAGCCACCGCGCCCGGCCTTTTTAAATTTTTTTTAAGACACTGTTTCTTAACTATAAGACTTACAGTTTCTTTCCTCTGGCTTGGTCTCTACCACCAGGCCTGGGACTGGTTTCTTGAAACAGGATTTTCTGTTGAAGGGATGGGAAAAGAAGTGTGACTGTGGCATTGCAAATGTAGGGGCCAGTTTTTTAAATTCCCAGCCACCAGGCTGACTTGCCACCACCACTACCCCACTCCCTCTCCTGGGACAGCCCTTGGACAGGCAGCCCCTCCCCAGCCTGACTCTAGGCCAGGGTTTCCGGCAGCTTGAGAGATGATGTTGAGGAGGATTTGAGGATCGGGGGCCAGGTGATAACAGTGCAGACCTTAGGTAGCCTGGGAATTCCAGAGGCCCCAGCTGGGCACCTGGAATATCCAGAGGGACGAAGGGCCAGCTCTTCAGAGAGAGGGTAGGGTGGTGCCATCATAGGGAGGCTTCAAAGTCATCAGACCTGGCATCAAATTGAGGTTTGTTGCCTAGCAGATGTGTGACTTAACTTCTTTCAGCTTCGGTTTCCTCATCCACCAAATGGGAATAATACTCTTGACCTCAAAGGTTTGTGTGGAAGTGAAATAATTATGTAAATTGTTCATCACATAAGTACCTAGTATGTGGTCCCTATTATTATGGATAGGAACAAAAGGCAGCGCCAAGTCAGGAACTCCAGCCTCGGCTAAGAAAAGGGATTTTTCCCTCCATCCTCAGCTAGTGGAGCCCTGAGGGGAGAAGGCGCTCTGAGGAGTAAAAATCCTGGATGAAATATAGAAGACACTGAGACTGGAAACACACCACAGCCCAGATTAGGAAATTCTTTAGAAAAAGGCTAATTCCTGCTTCTAGGCCTTCTCCTCCTCCTGCTGCTTCCCCACTCGGTTCGCCCGGGTGTGTCAGTCGACTGCCTTCCTACCCAGGGAGCTTCCCTGTCAGGGCCTCTTCCTTCCTGTCCCCGTCTGGCCACTCTGTCTGTCCCCTGCCATTTCCCTTCCCTCCTTTGTCCACTGCCCTTGCCCTGCCCATTGCCCCACCCTCACCCGCCTGGTCCTTCCCGGAGCCTGGCCCTCACTGTGTCCCCTCCTCTCCACACAGGTCTGGCCCTGGACCGGCTGAGCGCCCCTGACCCGGCCTGGATGGCGAGACTCTCTTTGCCCCTCACCACCAACTACCATGACAATGTGATCTCCCCGGATGCTGCAGCCACGGAGGAGCCGAGGACCTTCCAGACGTTCGGCAAGGCAGAGGCACCAGAGCTGAGCCCAACAGGCACGAGGCTGGCCAGCACCTTTGTCTCGGAGATGAGCTCACTGTTGGAGATGCTGCTGGAACAGCGCTCCGGCATGCCCGTGGAGGCCGCCTCTGAGGCACTGCGGCGGCTCTCGGTCTGCGGGAGGACCCTCAGTCTAGACTTGGCCACCAGTGCGGCCTCAGGCATGAAAGTGCAGGGGGACCCAGGTGGAAAGACGGGGACTGAGGGCAGGAGCAGAGGCAGCAGCAGCAGCGGCAGTTGCCTGTGAACATACCTCGGACGCCTCTGGATCCAAGAATCAGGGGCCTGAGGATCTGGGGACATGAGCTGGTTTCTAAAATCTTATAACTCACTAGCTAGCGGTGGCCTGAGAACTTTAGGGTGACTGATGCTACCCCCACAGAGGAGGCAGGAGCCCCAGGACTAACACCTGACTGACCAAAGCAGCCCCTTGTAAGCGGCTCTGAGTCTTTTGGAGGACAGGGACAGTTTGTGGCTGAGGTAAGTGTTTGCTGGCAAAACATATGTAGAGCACAAAGGGTCAGTCCTCTGGCAGAACAGATGCCACGGAGTACCACAAGCAGGAAAGGATGGCCTTCTTGGGTAGCAGGAGTCAGGGGGCTGTACCCTGGGGGTGCCAGGAAATGCTCTCTGACCTACCAATAAAGGAAAAGCAGTGATTCATTCTCCTGTTTGCACCTGTCAAGAGGGAGAAGGGAAGAGTAATAGAGTGAGGGTTCTTTGTCATCCAATCCCTGGCAAGACTGTCACACCGGGCCTGGACAGGCGTGGGGCACCTTGGTACACAGTGACAGGAACACAAATAGCAGACATGTGTGCTCTTAACCCCGTTCCCCTACCACTATGTTACCAACTAATCTGCTTCTCAGCTGCAAAATTAGAGCTAAGAAAGCACAACTATTTATAAAGCATTTCCATGAGCCAGGCACCAGGCTTTACAATAGGATTTAATTTGATTTTCCAACAGTCCTGGGAGGGAGGTATGATTAACCCCATTTCACAGACATTGATATGGGGCTTGGAGAGGTCAAATGGCTTTCCCAAGATCAAGCAGGGAGTACAGCCAGAGCCAGGATTTGGACCCGGGCTGGCCCAACACCAAAACCCAGGCCTTGAACCTTGACACCAGCCTGCCAACCAAGGAGAGGAGAAGGAAAGGCCCTGGAGGTGAGCTGTTGGCAGCAGTGAACTTGCCCGACAGAGCTCCCTCGGGAAACACTGTTGAAAGGAACATTTCCAAAGTCATGCAGGCCCGCACCTCTCTACATTTCCAAGCACAAGGCAAAAGGAACTTGGATCTGAACTGATGCAGGCCCCTGTTCTTTCTGAGCAAGTAGCTCTTCAAGTGCAGATGTCATCTTTCTGGACCCCATTTGCTGGTAAACCTTCCTCTGTTATTGCAGGTTTAGGCTTGTGAATCCCAGAGGACACTGTGTGAACTGGGTCTATGAAATCCGCACTGACAGCAGCCAGCCTTCCAGGGGATGGAGGAGGGAAGAAATAGCAGATATTTTCCCAAGGTTCAGCTTTATAATTTTCTTGGAAATTTCTGAGCAGCCAATCAGCTAGCTTCTAAATAGCATGGGTCTCTCCTGGACACTGCAGGCAAAAGTTCCTCTATCTGCTCCTCTTTTTGTCCTTTCTTGGAGCTCAGTGCTCATGTTCACTGTTCACAGAAATGGGCCAATTATACTCCCAACTAGGGATAATAGGCCTCATACATACTTGGAATACAGTGTGGTGTCATTATTCCATTATTCCATTTTACAGATGAAGAAAATGAGGCTCCCCAAAGTTATGAGTTTCCGGGGCAGAGTCTCTGGGTTTCTCCTCACCTCACTCTAGGCCAGAGCGATCTCCTTACAGAATCTGTGATTTTCAGGCTGGATCCCAGAACTGTTGGGTTCTGTGGGCCAGTGAGAGAAGCTGGGGGAAACCAAGCAGGCAGGCAGGGTCTCCAGCCTGACCAGCCAGGTGCCTGCCACAAAGCAACGCTTGATAAATACCTGTTGAATGGATGTATGAATGAATAAATGTGTCAGTAAATGCTTCAGAGGCCCCTTTTATCCATATTGGAGCTCCAGGTAGGACTTCATTAGAAAAAATGATTGTTATGCAAAAGCAAAGTCTGAGAACCACAGTACTAGAGTAGACCATGGTGACCTCCCAGTTACCAGCAGATTTTCAGTGCTGAGCAGATGTTGGGAGGGTAGAGAGAAGACAGTGGGCATGGGGAGATGACCTGAGAAAGCTGGAATTATAGGTGGCAACTGGATCACTAGACACATAGGACCATTGCATCATTCTAGTTCAAAAGCTATAAATCTGTACTCCTTGGGCTCCCTGAATACTAGGTAAAACTTTGTGTCTAGGCATTTTTTTTTTTTAGGCAGAAGATACAAAATTCTCATCAGATTCTCTAAAGGAAACTTTGACCTTTAAAAGGTTACGCAGCATTGCTTTAAGATACTATCTAAACATCCACAGACATGGGCAATTGTCATAAGGAGTCTGAACTTTATCTATTTCAACTCTTCATTTTATAGCCAAGAATATAGAAAGAAATGGCAGATGACTTGCCTAAGGCCACCTGGCAGGTTTGTGGGGGAGAGCTGTCCAAATTAAGATGACATTTAACTGAGTGGTTGCTCAAATCAGGATTTGGATCTGGGATTTAGTATGGTGGTCTTTTTAATACGTCAAAGATTCTTAATCTGACGTCCTTGGTTGGACTTCAGGATCTATGAACCTGCTGAACTGCATGCAAAATTGGAAGGATATGCATTTTTTCTATGGAAAGAAGTAGGTGCTTAGATCAGATTCTCAAAGAGATTTAGGGTCCAATTAAGATTAGGAAGCACTACAATCCTCTAGGTCAGCCCTCAGCCCTGCCTTCCCTGCAGAAACTGGAGAACTCATGGGTAGAGCTGCTCCTGTTCTGAACTTTGATCAGAATGGGGGTGTACGTACGTGAGGGACAGTGTTCTCTCCTGCACCATGTATCCCCTCCTGATGAGCTGATACCGGCACTTTGCCTGATAACAGGCTCAGGAGTGAGACCGTGTCTATGGTGACAGAACCGGGTGTGCTGAACAGGAAGGTTACAGAAACTTCTTGAAATCAGCCAAGATGTCAAAGCTGAGACTTTGGACATGCTCAAAACAGTTTCCACCAAGATGGGCTCTGTCCCCTGGGAGACTGAGGGAGCAGGCGAGCCAACAAGCACTCAGTTAAATGTTGTCTTAATTTGGAAAGCATAGAGGCATAGAGGGACTTTTTTTTTTTTTTTTTTTTTTTTTAAATCAATAGTCAGCCGTTCTCCAGCACCAGGAGTGCAATGCAGTACTCACTCAGAGCCTGGGGGCAGCTCAGAGATTGACAGGCAGCTGCCTTGTCTGTCACCCAACTTCAGTTTGGCAGCTCACTGACCCTGCCTCTTCTCTGGCTGAAATAAGAGTGATGTGAAAACCACTACCCTTGAAACTCTGGAGAGAACCAAATCCCGCAAAAGAGAAGACAGGAGGAGGGAGAAGGAGAAGCCTGGCCTGGTACATAGTGTGTACCTAGAGAATAGATAAGCATTTTCTAGCTCCTACTAAATTTTGGGTACAATGGCGGAGAAGTAGTAGGACATGATCGGAAACACTCATGCAACAAACATTTTGTACTTATTGAACAATTACTGAGTGCCAGAAGTAGCACAGGGAACCGTGTGTGTGTGTGTGTGTGTGTGTGTGTGTGTGTGTGTAGGTGGTGAGTGGGGGGCAATACAGAATTATTCATTCAAGTTATTTAAAATTATTCATTCAAATTACTTACAGTGCCTACTATGTGCTGGGTAGGCTTGGTGCTGGGCACTGGGTGGGGCGGGGGATTGTTGAATGTATATTTACTGAACATCTGAGTGTCCCACACTATATTAGCACTAAAGATATAGTGAACCAAATAGCCTTGTTCTCATCGTAGTGTCAGGACTCCCTGAAAACAGCATCTCCGGATAGGGAAACTGAGGCAGTAGAGCTTCCCACAGAGGTCTCATTGGTGAGGACGCCAGGCTTTAACCCAGCATCCTGACCCAGGTTGGCCCTGCTGATGGGAGCCACCTCCCTCTCGTCCTCTCACACTTCCTCTGGGGCACTGATGATGAGTCATTAATAACAGAATTTTAATGGCAAAAGCACAGCAGTCCTCAGCTCTGCCAATGAAGCCCATCCCCCTGGTGCTGGATCAAGACTGCAGTGACTAACAGCCAAGGATTTTTGGTCCCTTGACAACACCTTTCTCACAACTCTGCCATCCTTCTCTTTCCACAGGAGAGGCCCTTCCTTTTTAAATTGGAGAGCTTAAAAATATCCTACCCCTAACCTTTGGTACCCCAAATTGAATCAGTATTTAGCTCAGTAGTGACTGAATGGGAGGGAAAGCCATTCAGGGAGGGCTGCATGTGGCCTTCACCACAGGACCCCGCGTGTCCAGACTGTGAACCAGCCCTTGGCCCCGGCTATGGCTACAAGGCAGTAGTCAGAAAATCCAAAATGACCACAGAGGGGAGGAGGCTGGGGAGTGGCTCCACAGGGAGGGCACACAGTGACACTTCATGCAGAGGGTGCCCCAGGAAGGCTCAAAAGCAATCTGTAGGGAAACAGGCTCTGGGCTCAACTCAGTGAGGGAAAACATTGGGTTAACCGAGTTCTTTACTGGAGGACTTCTTGGAACCTCAAATATGCTGATGTATATTGTGAATCTATAAAAAGGGGACGTCTGGTACAGCGTTTCCCAAACTTATTTAACCACAGAAACCTTTTTTTGTTTGTTTTTTGGCAGAGAGCTTAGTGCACGCACAGCTTAAAACCCTGAGTTTGAAACCTCAGGTTTCCTACCCTGCACGGGGGGCCTTGCGCTCAGTGCTGGGGACACTGGAATACAAAGATAAGATCCCTGCTCCCAAGGAGTGCCATCTGTGGAAGGTGGCCATGTGCAGGGTCCAATAGCGGTGAGCCAGTGTGCAGGGAAGCCCTGAAAAGGAGGCAGGGAGCAGGTGAGGAGCTGGAGCTAGAGGACACTTGGGCTCCCCAGGTGAAAGGGAGGTGCTAGGAAAGTGTGGCAGGACAACTTAGAAGTTGGGAGAGGTGGGGTGGGAAGCAGAGAGGGAAACGCGGACAACTTTCCCCCCTCAAATCTTCTTGCCTTTGAATTGGCCAAGCTGGTTGGTCTCCACTCAAACAGTCACGGGATTGTGAGGAGTGGGCCCTCTATCCCTCCCAGCCCCCACCCTCAACCACATCTATGCTATTCAACTTGGGCGAACATCCAGAAGCGAGGGAATAGCTATTCACAAACTCAGTAATTGGACTCATTAGCGTTGACTCAGAAATCTTTTTTTTCCCTAAGTCTCTCTCTTGGAGAAGCTTTTAAGATCCTTTAAATTGCTTAATGGAGAGTTTAGAGATGAGGACGGAGCCTTAGCTTTCAGCTCCCCCTGCCCATCTCCCTGGCTCTTCCCAACATACTCAAGGGCAAGAGTGATGATATAATCCAATATCTGTTTTATTAAACACCTAGACATTTCTGGCACACGTTTCCCAAACGGGGACCTCAAAATCACACTCTCCAGCTCTAGGACTCCTAGCATTCAATCTACATTTACTCTCCCAGGACTAGGACAGTCATAATGCTTTCACATAAAATTGCAGTCTGAACTGATGGACAAGAACCCTAGGCCAGGAGTCAGGAGGCCCAGGTCCTCATCCTGGCCCAGCGACTCATAAAGTCATGCAACCATGAGCATCACTGCCTCCCGGGCCAAAGTGAGCACAAAGGTCCTCTCTGTGGTGAAATGCCCTTGCATTTGTCTTGTAAGGTAGGAAGGCAGACACCATTGCCTTTGGTATACAACTGAGGAAGCAATATAGAGTCAGGTCACTGCTTCAAGGTGACATGGCCAGACAAGTGGCAGAGCCAGACCTGGGTCTTCACATACTTTCCTCTTCTTGATGGTACTGGCGCAGGTGCTTAGGGTTTGGGGGAAGGTGGGTGGGGAACCGGCCTCTTCTTCGGGACTCAAGTTGTGATATCTCTCTGAGAACCCACAGGCTCCATCTTTAGGGCTGAGGTGAGAAGTTCTGAAAGTCAAGCAGACACATCCAGGCATTTGGGCAAGAAACGTCTTCCTTCCAAATCAAAGGTGAAATGAAAATGATTATGAGCCCATGGGGGATGAATAGAGGTGAGTGGTGGAGCTAGTCTTGAGGATGGCCTAATTCAGTATTTTTAAGTGCCAGCCATTCACAGAACCGCCCCTATGATTTTTGCTCCCTCTCTGGACCTGTGCCCCCTTTTACGTTGTTTTTCTTTAAACTGATTCACTTTTTTTTTTTACAGTTAGCTTTATCCTAGACAGAACATCTGCCAAACTACAGCTCAATATGCTAGTCATATTTTTATATTATACATTAAATATGTAACTACTGAAATAGAAAATATTAATTTGAATACCACCTAAAATCTTCTTGTGAACCAGGGATACACACATCACACATTGGCAAACAGCAGTACAGGATTAAGTATGAGAAAACCAAGGCATAGGAAGGGAGAAGGTAAGTTATTTGCTCAAAGACAAAGGCTAACGTGAGCACAAGGGTCTCTGGACCCTTCAGTAGGGCTTTTCATAGGTCACTGAATGCATCCTTTGGTGCACAGACCAGAAATGACTGTGGATGCATCCAAGGCTCATCTGTGAGGCTACCAAGTGCGGGGGAAGATCAGTCACTTACTAGCCATGTACGTGAAATTGCTTGGGAACCTAAACTCCTGCTGTAATTTCTACCTGGAAAGGGTTACTGATGCTTTATTTTTGTTATCCAACCTCCTGCTCCCTCTGGCCCCTAAGAGGCACCACGGACTATGTTTTATCTCACCTTAGCCAAAACCTAGTCTTACAACACTCCCTTCCAGTGGGTAGGGGGGTGGGAGGATAGCCCTGCTGGAGGATTCCAGGCTGGCTCCAAGATGCCCACTTCTGCAGAGGAGGCCAAGGTTCCCTGTGCTCGAGGCATGTGGTAGGCGCGAGGTTCCTGCTAGCAGGGTGTTCAAGCTGCAGAGGGAGGGGCTGGAGAAAGACTTCAGTCCTGTAACTGTCAGGTCGCTGGGCCCTGGGGCTACAAGAAGAGGTGAGAGCAACTCTTACTCATGCTGTACATTCTTGGACTCCGACTTTGGAGCCAGCACTTCTTCAAGGACTTGGTTCCCCAGGCATTGTTAACTCCCAACCCCAGTGACTCATGAGTGAGCAGGGCTCTCAGAGCCCTAGAAGGGTAATTCAGGCAATCTTGGGATATTGTCTCTCCTACAAAATCATCAGAGCAGCTACCACTTGTTCAATACCTACTGTGCTGTCAGGCTGTGCTAAGTCCCTTAGAGTCATCTCATTTAACCCTATGACAATCTAATGAGTTAGGTGCTACCATTACCTTCATTTTTAGAGGTGAAGAAACTGAGGCACAAAGCCATGGAGTCCAAGTTCAGTGACAGTGGGGGTTAAAACTCAGGTTTGACTGGGCGCAGTGGCTCACACCTGTAATCTCAGCACTTTGGGAGGCCGAGACGAGTGGATCGCCTGAGGTCAGGAGTTTGAAACCAGCCTGGCCAACATGGTGAAAACCCGTCTCTACTAAAAATACAAAAAATTAGCCGGGTATTGTGGTGGGTGCCTGTAATCCCAGCTACTCGGGACACTGAGGCAGGAGAATCGCTTGAACCTGGGAGGCAGAGGTTGCAGTGAGCTGAGATCATGCCATTGCACTCCAGCCTGGGCAACAAGAGTGAAACACTATCTCGAATAAAAATTTAAAAAAAAAAAAAAAAAAACTCAGGTTTGTCTGACTCCAAACGCCCGCATTCTTTTTTTTTTTTTTTTTGAGATGGAGTCTCACTCTGTCGCCCCAGGCTGGAGTGCAGTGGCGCGACTCGGCTCACTGCAAGCTCCGCCTCGGGTTTACGCCATTCTCCTGCCTCAGCCTCCAGTAGCTGGGACTACAGGCGCCCGCCACCTCGCCCGGCTAGTTTTTTGTATTTTTTTAGTAGAGATGGGGTTTCACCGTGTTAGCCAGGATGGCTCTCGATCTCTTGACCTCATGATCCCTCCCGTCTCGGCCTCCCAGAGTGGCTGGGATTACAGGCTTGAGCCACCGCACCCGGCCTGGTTTTGTTTTTTTTTTGAAACGGGGTCTCGCTCTGTTGCCCAGGCCGGAGTGCAGTGGCGCGACCTCGGCTCACTGCAAGGTCCGCCTCCCGGGTTCACGCCATTCTCCTGCCTCAGCCTCCTGAGTAGCTGGGACCACAGGCACCACTAACCACGCCCGACTAATTTTTTTTTGTATTTTTAATAGACACGGGGTTTCACTGTGTTAGCCAAGAGGGTCTCGATCTCCTGACCTCGTGATCCGCCAGTCTTGGCCTCGCAAAGTGCTGGGATTACAGGCATGAGCCACCGTGCCCGTCCCCAAAAGCTGCGTTCTTAGCCACCACTGGGGTTGGAAATGATTAGGAGACCAGAGACTACTGCTATCTACTACTCTGTCACAGAGTACTGAGCTCAGGGAATGAACCTGTTGGCTTGGACTTGGGTCTGTACCTGCAGGCTCCATGGAAAAGAGGGCTTGCAGCCTCTCCTGGGCGGCCTCATTTCCCAGAGCTGCTGACTGCCGGTAACATCTCAAGGCCTCTCGCAGATTCCTCTGCACACCAAGGCCTTTCTCATAGCAAATTCCAAGGTGGTACCTGCTCTGTGAGTCCTAAGGAGAAAATGGACAAACTGATACACACATGCAAGAATGAGGAACTGAAACGCTAAGGCAGGAGGAAAGTGAAGTCAGGCATGCTGGGACTTCATCCATGCAGGAACAAGACCCAGCCTTGGCCCGTCCCATAACAAGGGATCTCAACTATGAAACGCCAGAGGCTCAGAGCTCACCCAACACAAAGGAGAGGGGGATCCCTCCACCCAGGGAGATTCCAGACAGGGCAGTGTGGAGGCTTCTCTTGCACAGGGTGGCTGAAAGCATGCACAAGGAAGACTATAGGAAACAGCCCAGTTACAGGAAACCTGGGAGTCGGGCTCCTACGTTGCCCTGAAACAGCAAGGAGGCGAGGGTGGAGGGTTGTCTTCCCAAAGACCCTGCGCCTTCCTGAATCTCTGCCTGGGAGGGCTGACAGAAAAAGCAATTCTTCTCTAAAAAGCTATGCTCGGCCTGGGCGCAGTGGCTCACACCTGTAATCCCAGCACTTTGGGAGGCCAAGGTGGTCAGATCACGAGGTCAGGAGTTGGAGACCAGGCTGCCCAACATAGTGAAACCCCGTCTCTATTAAAAATACAAAAAAAATTAGGCAGGTGTGGTGGTATGCACCTGTAATCCTAACTACTCAGGAGGCTGAGGCAGGAGAATCGTGTGAACCCAGGAGGCAGTGGTTGCAGTGCGCCAAGATCACGCCACTGCACTCCAGCCAGGGCAACAGTGCAAGACTCCATGTCAAAAAATAAAATAAAATAAAATAAAGCTATGCTCTTTGCCCCAGCTCTGGATCCTCAATTCTCTCTCCTCTCACTGAGAACTATGCTCCTGGTAGGAATAGGCTCAGGTAGGTAGAGGTAGAGGCTGGGTGTCCAGCTGCACAGCCAGACTGTCTGTGCTCCCATCACAGCTCTACCATTTACCAGCTGTGTTAACTCAGGCATGTGACTCTAACTCATGGTGCCTCAGTTTCCTCACCTACAAAGTGGGATACTAGTAGCACCTACTTTATTAGGTTGTTGCAAGGATTAAATACCCTATATGAAAAGTGCTTACATTCACTATAAGAATCATATTCACTCTCCCAATTAAAAAAACAAAACAGGCCAGGTGTGGTGGCTCATGCCTGTAATCCCAGCACTTTGGGAGGCCAAGGAGGGCGGATCACGAGGTCAGGAGATCGAGAACATCCTGGCTAACACGGTGAAACCTTGTCTCTACTAAAAATACAAAAAAATTAGCCAGGCATGGTGGCGGGCACCTGTAGTCCCAGCTACTTGGGAGGCTGAGACAGGAGAATGGCCTGAACCCAGGAGGCGGAGCTTGCAGTGAGCCGAGCCCGCACCACTACACTCCAGCCTGGGCGACAGAGTGAGACTCTGTCTAAAAAAAAAAAAAAAAGAAAAGAAAAAAGAAAAAAAACCAAAACAAAACAAAACATTATTGACTCCCAACCATGGTCCCATTTCTCCTCTACCCTCCGCAGTCAAATTTCTGGGAAGAGTTGTCTACACATTCTCCCCCTACTTCTATAACACACGGCAGACTCATGCCTACAGACCAGGTTACAACATAGCAGTGGACACACGTGAGGCCAAAACACCACCCCTGCATCGCTGCTCAGTACCAACCCAGAAAGACACAATTCCCTGTGGGGTGGAAGAGTGTCAGGTCTGAGTCCCAATACAGTGTCACATAGCAGGTGACAGATATCCTTTTGTGCATTTCTCCTGCTAGCATGCTGGTCTGATTATCTGGTGGATACCTGGTGGCACTGGTCCCCTTTGGACAGCTACTACAGATACTTTGGGCAACACAGAGTAGACAAGGAAAAGCATTCTGATGCCCAGGAGTTCAATGAAGCTATCAGTGTGTTGGCCAGAAAACAAAGGAAGCAGCAGTCCCCTATGTAGGGAGATTACAGTTCACGCATATATTGCTTGATTTAATCTAAGACTCCTGGTCCTTCAAGATGCAACTCAAAAGATACACTGGTCAAATACACTTGAGGAATACAGCGAATTACAGATGGCCTTTTCAGTGATCTACAGTGACATAAAGCTTTGAGACTTCCTGCATGAACTGTTTAACTCAGTACTTCCCAAACCCATCTAACCATTTTTTCCTCTTACGACTTATAAACATCCCAGAGAACTAATGCTTCATGGAACACATCTGAATTGTCTGAATGCCAGTGACCCCAGTTCACAAACAACCAGACATCCCCACCCACCCCAAACTGAGCAGTGTTCCCTGTTTACTGTCTCCACCTGATGCGTCTTCTGATTTCCCTGGGTTACCATCACTTGTAATGATGCGTTTTTCATGTGTACAGGTCACACAGCACTGTCACACCTGTTAGTTATCTCGGTTAGATTTTGATCCTCACAACCACCCTGTGAAGTAGTGGACACGTAAGGCAAGCATTATTATGCTGATTTTACAGAGGAGGAAACAGGTTTGAATCAAGAAGTGAGCAGGCCCAGTAGTGTGCTGGTAAATGTTGAACAACTGGCTCTCGGGGAGGGAAAAAACTCTGCTTTGTGGCGTTTAGCAATTCCTGTGGTGAAAATATTCCCACCATAGCAGATTTTAAGCTGCCAACAGCTCTCACAGCCTGGTGCAAGCCAGCTCCGGCGTTCTACTGCAACTGCCCAAGGGTCACACAGTAAGTCAGTGACAGCTAAGGCTTGAAGCCAGGCCAAGGCTCCTATCAAACAATCTCCTCAGCACAGAACTCAGTACCAGTTCCAAAATCCCTTCTCTTATCAGGCTTCATCCCCAACATGCTTGCCCACTAGAGAGCTCATACCCCATTGTTGGCTGCAAGCCAAAGATATTTCACAGCTCTTTTCTCATCCAGGTAGGGTTCCTTGGTGAAAAGCACCCCGAGGAAAGCTTGGGCCTGTGGTCAAGGAGGAAGGAAAAAAAGGCACCTTGGTCACTTTCAGGCTCCACAAGCCCCAGAGACCTTGGACAGACCCTGCCAATGGCACTCACCTCTCTCAAGCCTGAGTCTGCAGCCTGCTTCACCATGGACACTGCCCTCTGCTGCTCAGGGTTCCACGAAGAGGCTGGGTCTCGTAGTAGGCACCTGGCATAGCGGTACTGAGCCAGGCTGTGGCCCTGGCTGGCAGCCAATTGATAATAAAGGACTGCCTGGGGCAAAGGGAGAAACACCCAGTCAGCTGGTAACTCTGTACATCTTTTTCTTTCAGTGAAATTTTTAAAAACTATTTTAATTAAATAATACATAATAATTATAGACTAGTCAGAAAATTCAGATAAGCCAAAATTTTAAAATATAAACCAAAAATAGAAACATAAAATCCCAAGAAATTCAGCCTCCTAAAGATCATTCTTGCTTAACATTTTAGTGTACAGCCTTGTAAATATCTTCTCACATGTATGTGTTAGACATACACACATATATTTTAGACATCTATGCATTTGCACGCACATATGTGTGTGTGCGGGGGGGGCAAAGAGAGAGAGACTTAGATCATACTATACATACTATACTACTTTATAACCTATTTTTTTTAACTTTAATGGTACACCATGAATGTCTTTCCCTGACATACATATCCAGCACATCATTTTAAGGCCCAAATAGATGTAATTAACCAGTTTTCTATTGAAGAAACTTTCAGGGTTTTTTGGGTTTTTCTGCCTTCACATACAACTCTAAGAAATACATTCTTATACGGGATGGAGTCTGTGCTCTGTTGGCCCAGGCTGGAATGCAGGACACAATC